TTTTCTCAAGGCAGACTCCCGGCCCACCTGAGAGAAGAAAGAGGTATTTTTTCATTTTTCTTTGGGCTTCTTGCAGGGTGATTCGTATATTTTTCCGGGAATTGTCGAAAGTTTTTGTGCTTTCGGCTCACTGAATCTGCCTTTTTTAAAGTTTCGCATAATGATGGCTGCGATGTTAGGTTTTTCCACCGCATCTTGTGATTGCGGAGATATTTTAAATTTTCTCCAACATTCATGGAAGCAGCAAAGAGTGGGGTTAAATTTAAAGTCGAAGCTACAGAATTATAATGTACTTTTGTTGTAGTGTTGATAGCTTTTTGTCCGCAATTATAGTGATCGTGTACGAGTTGTAAAACAGAACAAGATAAAACTTGTATAAGTTATACTTTTTAATTTGGAGGCGATTATTCTTCGGTGAAGGTACCGAAATGCTAAAATCTTTTTAGTCATACCTATGCAAAAAAAAAAGATGAGAATATTTGAAAATAAAAAATGGCTCTATTTCGTTCTATTAAAAGATTGAGTCGAGATTAAACGATTTCTACTAAATATATGCTAATTGTTTTATTAACACTAATAATTTTTAAGTTAAATGAATAAAAAGAGTTAATGTTTTTCAAAAGTTAAAATTTCCTTCTGTGACTAATGTAAAGCTAGGTTAAAATTAGATAAACTTTAGCATTAAAGGGAGAGTACCGCCGAGATAGATTGTGCCATTCTAGATCGGCGACTCGTTGTCCGCACGCCTTTAGCTATGCCTTTAGCTACGACTTTAGCTACGACTCCAACTACGTAACGTGCAATAATCTATTCTGCAGGCGTGTATTTTTGAGTTTACGTCGCCATGACTACCTGGCAAATCGCGCGCGCATACGGTAACGACGACGTCCGCGATGACGACGTCGACGGCGACGTCGACGACGAAGAGAGGCGGTCGTTAGAGGCGCGCGATATCGCGATACCGCTCGCAGAGGTAGGCACTCCGAGCTGTCCAGTGGCCTATTTCATAAACTCGACGGACCACTAAGTTGGCGATTAGTCGAGCGGGTCGAGCGCGTCAATATGCTGTATTGTTCGTTAAAAAAGATATGACAGGTATATATATAAAAGATTTTTTTTATCTTAATCCTTTTTTCACCTCTTTTTACTTTTTATCGTGACTGATAGGAATATTTTCCTCGCAGTCACAGTTGTGAGGATTTCGAGAAGGTTGACTTTTTTTATACGAAACTATATATAAGCTTGAGACCGAACTTGTATATAAGATCGATTGTGACGACTGCGATGCAGTACCTATACATCGGACAGACTAAACGTCAGTTAATAACAACAACATTAAGGAGCACCAAAATGATATAAAAAAACATAACAGCAATCACTCGGTTGTGAGCAGACATCGGGTATCGTGTGGTCACAATTTTAAATGGTTGGAAACCAGCATTATCCATAAGGAGAAAAATACTAAAAAAAGAGAGATTGCTGAAATGTTTTTAATTAAAAAACATACGAAGACGATTAATTTAAAAAAGGATACAGAAAACTTAAATCCTATATATGACAAAGTAATTTCATCGTTGTAAATATCACGTGAATCATGTTTATACTAACAACCTACAATGTACATTGTCAATGTACGAAAAACAGTTAGTATACCTCTCAACTCCGACATGTGAACACGCGTTAGTTGTCGCTCCTCGATAATGTCCTGCTCCGGAAAAAATTTTTATGTGCTCAATAACGACAGTACTTCATCGCGGTGGTCACTCTCTCATAATTAAACGCATTCTTTGCTGTCACCGACTTATACTTGTAAGTTATTTTTTTGCCTTTAATTGCATACTATTTTACATTGCTCACTGACTATTGTTCTTCCAGCGATCAATTTATGATTATTTCGGGTAAAATTTTCGAAAATGCCGATGTTTAAGTTTGTGACAAAGAATAGTTACCAGGTATCGCTTTTTATCTATAATGTTTTTCCTTGACTATTAATTTTATCTTGCGGACCCAATTATTGCTATGGATTGTTTGTTGTTTAGATTGCTTGATAAGGACCCGATCCGAGGGGTCGAAACGTAGCAACGTTTCAATTTATTTTGCCAATTAAAGTCGAAATCAATAAACTTTTCTTATATATAAGCTTCTTTACATAAATCCAGACCTTCTGACATATTCTACGTAGAATGAAATGTTGAGGTAATAAGGTGATCGAATACCTAGTGAATATTTTACGAGTTATTTTATTCCGGCATGTTGTAACATAAAATATGATATATCTCGTAAAATATTCCGTATTTTTTCCTGCCTTAATATCGTACTTCCATGCGTGGAATAATATGGATGTACTCAATCGAGAATCCTTGTTTTTTACACAAGTAATTTTAACTTTTTATGAATGTGATAACAAGGTAACACCTGTAGTCGAGAGGGTATCGCCGTAAAACTGTTCGTTAAATTTACACGTATAAATTTAGGGTGTGTCAACTCGTAAAATATTAGATAGCTTCTGTTTCGCGGGAGTCGTTGAGTCGACGAAATTGTCGGATTTTGCCTGCTGACGCAGAAGTTTTATGAAACTGACACGTGATAAGCTTCCATAAATTGAAAAATGTCTTATAAGCAGTTTGCTCTCAATAATCTCAGAAACTGTCGATCTATAAAAATGTGTTTCAATAATATCTATATTTGTTGTTTTTAATCGTGAAATCGATGATGACAATCAACAATTGTTTTATTACGCCGTTTACTTATTTCATCATCGATGAAAAGCACTTTAATTGAAATTCTTTGACACACGTGGAATCGATTTTAATTTATCAAACATTTGGAAAGTGTCTCGACTGAAGAGGTAATGTAAAAAGAATTGTGAGAGTGCCGCGCTATAAAAATTATTTTTCCATCAAAAAATACCTACTGCAATCGAACGTTATAAAAGAATGTAAATGTTCTCAATTTCTATTTGAATGACAATAGAGTTCGGTAACTAAAACGAACATAATATTTTTTCGACTATTTTTTATTTCCTGATATATTTATTTCAAGCGCTTAAAGTTATTTATGTCCAATCTTTAATTACATAGGTGTCGAATATTTTGCAAATTGTAAAACTGTAATCGGATGTAGCCAAATTTTCTCATGAATAATAAATTCTCGTGTCAATAAAATCTATAATTTAACAACGGATGTGAGTTAAAGACGATATACCGTTTCGGTTAAGAATGGGCTCGGCTATTTATTGGTAATGATGAAATTGGCACTCAAGCTCGCATTACAAGTTAATAAAGAGTGTCGGAAGAGTTATGGCGGTATAATGACGGTGTTGACGAGCAATTTTGAGAGGGCTAGAAGGGATTGCTGGAATTTGTTGTTTAGAAGGAATTAATCCGCGGCGTGATGGGTTGATCCGTTTGCAGAAGGGCGAGCGAGACGCCACGCTATAAAAGCGAATGTTTGCGACTGATTCCATCTTTCGAAAGCGGAGGAATTCCGCCGGGAAATCTTCCGCTACGATATGATAATGCCTCGTCGGAGGCATTATTTATGGCACACACTCCATAATCGTATTCGGCGTGCTCGCGGGTTTACAGTGGCCTTGCATGCGCTTGTAATTACTCAACCGCGTATTAATTTTGCGAAATTACATTGTCAATTAAAAAAAAGGGAGTACACGCTCCGTGCAAAACGTCGTTGATACGTAGTTATTTCGAAACGACTACAGTAATTTTGCGAAATTACATTATCAGGAGCTTTTAAAAGTTTTTACACGGGAATTATTTTTGTCAAACGCAAGCGATAAATAATTGTCCACTTAGCGTAACGCAATTTGAAACTTTTGAAAGTTATCTCGTTAATTCTCTTCCAAACAAAAATACATTGATTTAGGTAAATCTATTAAAATATTGAATTATTGAACATGAGGATTGGAGTCGCGTACATCGGGATCAATATCTTTCTTTTTTCAACCGACCAGGTTCTACGTCCCGACTATTTGTTGAAATCAATATGCCAATATAATGCTTTCAATCGATCCGCACGACCGACGAAAGTAAGGAATAATATTGGTGCAGACTCCGGGTCTTAAATTAAGGATAGCAATTGCTCGATTAATCATGAGGCAAAGTGAACTGCAAAGGTGGTTCGGAGCGAGGATCGATATCCTCACTGCGCGATATTCTCGTTGCGTCTATTTTTTCTAGCCAATAAGCTTTCGCGATAAAATCCACGTTAATCAGGCTAATCAATCACATAGATCAAGATGTATTTTTTTCAATGATTTTAATGACGGCCAAAAATGTCGATCGCGTGAAACGTTTTTGTCTTTTCTTTAAAGATTATATGATACAGAAATCTATGTTATATTTATCTTAGAATAATTTTAAAAAATCATAATCTTCATAAATTTTTAATTTAAACACAATTTATTTCAAAAGGTTTTTTTAGCACTTAGAATATAAAAAACGTCTACTTGTTGAACAATTTTGATATTTAGGACTTTCGGAATTGCAAAAAAAGCATGGCGTCAAACTCCAAGATACTCTGCGATTCTGAAACGCTGCGGCATATACTTTCTCGTCACACGTCTATTTTTACTCGTCTCCGCTGAAACGCGACTGTAGTTCACCGTGGTAAAATCTGAAAATCGAATACTGTAGTGCGCTAGAGTCAATAATCGATACATCGCGGTGCGGCGCTCCGAAAAGCCGGTGACCGCGGCGTGTGGATTGGAAAATGCAGCGCGCGCGCGTGCTGTAACCGCCCCTCTGTCTCACCCCTCGCGCGCCGCAAACCCTACGGCCGTGCCGCTTGTGCCATGCCGGCCGGGGGGCACGTGACCCCAATGGCGCCACGAACGGGTGCGACGGCCCTGAGGCCGTTCTCGTCGCGTCGCGGCTCGTCGGAGCGTGCCGAGGCCGGCCGACGGCACACGAGGGCGTAGCGACGGCAACCGGGCAACCACGTTTCTACCCTCGTTTTCAGTCCGTCGTGGTGTGTCTCGTCGGTCGCCGGTTCGTCCGACAACCACGCGCGCTGCTCTGTTTTTTCTCCCTCTTTCTCTATTTCTCTTTCTCCTCCCGTCCCCGTCCCCGCTACCCCCGCCCCCGCCATTTACCGTGCATCTTTCATTTTTTTTCCGTCCCCCCGTTGGATGACCCCCACCTGTCCCCTTCTTTTTTTTGCGAACTGCCGGCATATCGCGGGGGTCGCGCGCGCGACGTCCGTGTGCCGCGATCGCGGAGTGTTACCCCCCCTCGCGCGGAGGTATGTTACCGCGTGACCACCACTCGCCCCGCGCCCCGTGTGCGCCTTGAATACGGATCGGGTTGAACTGCGGGTGAGGGGAGAGAGGAGGGAATTCGCATCGCATCGCATCGCGACGGCGACGGCGAGGGGCGAAAGAAAGGAAGGGCGGCGATGCAACGCGGCGCGGGGACGTACGTGCTGGCTGCGTGCTGCCGTCGCCCCGGCGCGAGAGAACGTTAAGGTAAGAGAGGGTTCAACGAACGCCGGATCGCGCTGCACGCGCGACTTTCACCCCCTCTCCCCCCCCTCGCCACTTTCTTTTCCTATCGCGATGCACTTTGAGGAGGCGATAGGGGTGGCTTTACGAAGTTCCGGGAAACTTGCGAATTGTCCTGAATTTTAATCGCCAATGGCAGCGTTAGATCTACTTGATGTTAAGAAATGTCGAGGAGAGAGCGTTAGCTTGACTGATCTCCGATAGAGAACTATCTCTCATAAGTCTCATTTTGCGAGCAGTCTCTCTTCGAGTCTCTCTTAGTTTGTTATCAGTGATAAAAGATAATATCAATGTTACTTTTTAATTTGTTATTGTAAAAAATGTCAGTTATTATTCATGCGATTGATAATTTATGTTAGGTCTTCTAATTTTTTCATGACTTTATACGCGACCGTTTATTTATTTATTTATTACATTGCTCAATGATCAAATATAACGTTGACTTTAATGACTTTGCTTTTTGACGTTACTGTAAATGTATTTTTTATTGAGATTGCAATTTTAATATAATCTTCTTAAAAGTCTAATTATTTATATTACATTTTAATAATTAAAACCATTTCCACTATCACAACCTGGAATTATTCTAATTTCTACTTTTGCTGAAAAGTTTTACTTATCGAGAACTTTGTGGACACGTGCCCCACGCAGGTGCACTCTTGCATTCGATTAAATTTGTCTTTTTTATTAATTAATTAGAGAACATGTCATTTGCCATGCGGTCGGGCTGGATCTTAATCTAATAATAATATTTCTGTGTGAATTTTGTAGACTTTCTGCAACTCAGTAAACTGCGCGCCAATTATTTGTCGGTCTTAAAATACACTCGACCAATTGGTAAAGACGCCCGGTCACGTTGTAGAGAGATTCGAAAAATCACTGTAAAGAATTTATTGCGAAAAATATTATCCAGGGGAAAAATAATGGAAAAAGTATACAAAATTCACCCGAAAAATATCACCATCATATCTGGGGTGATATTTTTCGCAATAAATTCTTTACGGTAATTTTGTAAAGGATGTTTATTAGCATCAAAAGTTAAATTATCAGTTATCGATTTAAGTATGCGGATTTACTGTTCCAATAGAAAGCTGTGATCGACAAATAATCGGTGCGCAGTCTACTGAATTAGAAACGTATACAAAATTCATACAGAAAATTATTAATAGTATATAGACTATCATGATCCAGTCCGACCGAAAATGGCATCTTCTCTAATTAATAATCTAATTGTAAGATCGGACCTGTTTCACTTATTATCTTTTATTAATCATCTTCGAATCTTAGTTTCTTTTAGTAAATTGCATTTGAAAAGTATTCCGTATAGAGTTTCCTACTATTTAGTGTCAGATTTAATGTTAAATATGTCATATTCGGAGTTATATATATGATCATATAACTCCGAATCTTATTTAATAATAATGAGAATTACGTTTAATGTCAACGTGACACGAAAATCAGACAGCTACAGTTAACGTTAAATATGTTATAATAATATAAGAATCTTTATCTTCCCTTATATTTATTCCATACATTTATGGAACAACATGAAGCTATGGTATAATACATGTCGTAAGAGAAATTAACATTTCTTCAATATATTTGTACAAACAATAAAAAATACATATTTTTTTTCCGCATAAAGCAATAGGGAATTTATATTACGTAAATCTCTATGTATTATGCTTAATAATACGCAGGGATTTAATTTAACCGCTTAGATATTTAATTTAACATACATGATATTAGAAATTCCATACATCATGAATTCCATACAACGTGAATTATTTTAGCCATGCTCTTTCATTTCTTTATGGAACTGGCTATTCATAAATTTTTCCGCGCCCACACCTAACGTTATTTATAGAGAACATACAGATATAAAGGATACATGAACTTTTGAATATACTGTTATGTTCGAAAAATGTGAAAATGGTTTTTCTCGCGAATTTGCTAAGAATTTCTAACTACGATAATTGAATTATGTATAATCTTTATTTAGAGTGTCTTTATTGCTATCTTTAACTATTCTTTAGTCGTTACTTGCCGAAGAAATTCGGCAGTAATGACTTGAGTGATTAATAACATTAACTGTCGATTGCGATCAACGAAACTCCAAGTCACGCAATAAGCCGGCGAGGAAAAATAAACGCGCAATCGTAAGGTTAGTATCTAAATGTGTGCCGGGGAATGCTCTGGCAATGATTTCGAGGTCGATTACCCTAGCGACTTACTTCGGCGTTGCTATCGCTGAGCTTGTTCGTAAGTGAACATTTATCGATTTTATCTAATATACATATATTGTATGATAAAATACGATACACACATTTATTTTGCATAAAAATGTAGATAAACTCAAAACTGTCGCGCGTCTTTTTATCAGTAAAGTGTCTTTTCGTCGAGAGAAGATGTTTAATTTTTCAAAGGAGGAGGGTCCCTAAGGCCTGTTTTTGGCACCCTTCAAAATTGGACCAAAATGGCTGGAATCACTTCTTTATATCCTTGGAAGTAATAGGATGGATGAAGTTTTAAAAAGAACTGTTTTAAGAACTGTACCTTTTTGAGCAACTACGATTCCTTAAGCTTTTAATTCAATAGACCAGATTTTGCTTATGTCCATGGCCTTATATATCGGACCCTATCTCACATCTTAATGTCAGAGATACACAAAATGCGTGTACTTCCGTTTAGGCTGGAATTGACTGAATATTACTTCCAAGGGTATAAAGAAGTGATTCCAGCCATTTTGGTCCAATTTTGAAGGGTGCCGAAAACAGGCCTTATTATAGAGACCCTCCTTCTTTACGACTTGAAAAATTCAACGGCAGAATTACGCGCAATTTGCTCTGGTGCTGTTATGTGCGTATGTAAAATGGCTCGTCTACGGTTTTCTCTACGAAATGGTTTTGCGGGTCGATATCCTTTCGCTGTGTAACCACGTGAAATTGGCGTTGCATAATTCTCGCGGCAGCCGCGTAAACGAATCCGAGAAAGAATTACCGGGCCGTTTTTGTTGGCCCGTTTTTGTTCGTCAAGTTAAATATAGTAACATAAAGGCGTAGTTCGTATACAGAACGTACGATGATATATTATGTTGTGTCTGGGGTTATTGCACCTACACCGCAATGCGCGAGAATTATTGACAAGCTGTTTGAGGTTCTCTGCACTTGCTAACATACAATTCTGGATAGATCCATTTTTTATTATCGCTATTAATCCTTCAATTAATCTGAAATTAATTTAGATATTTTATTGGTTTAAAATAAACATTCAAGCGCGAGTTCGATAAAGAATTTACATTTACAAATTTGTGATCATACTCGTCAACGAACTTGGAAACTCGAGCCGCGCCGAGAATGCAGCCGCATTTCATTGCCGCATCTCTGAAATGGGTCTGTTTTAATGCATAACCGTCTTCGTGTTACTATTTTTGTTACGTTTTCCCCGAAAAAAAAAATACGTGCTATTTATTTCAGCGATATTAAGTAGCGAGCATCTTTTTCTCCATGTCAACGGAGGAGGGAAGAGTAGCGGGCGCGTGAAACTCCATTCATTCTACTTATCGATACATCTTTCCACTCCCTGTGCCTCTCGAACAAGAGATGTAGGGTACGTCTCGCCCTAAAATTAACGATCCATCGTCCTTTTGTGAAATTTATGGACAAGTTTCAAAAGATTATTTTTAGCAAAAGTTTCCAATATATAGAATAGAAAGTTTTAATCTAATAAACATTCGAGCTTATAAGATTCCTAAAGAATTTCTTGTCCTTCGCAGCACGATATATACGAGTACGAGATGTCTATCTTCCATTTATCTGTTCATCGAGTTTACAAATTCTTTCTTCCGCGTTTTTGTATTGATATAGAAATACAATATTTCAACTAATTAAGTTTTAACATGTTACGAACAGATAGTAAAGCTGACAATTGTTTCTAAAATTGTTAATAAAATTCAAGTGTATTTTATTTTAAAAGAATCTTGATTTGTGGAACGGCTGGAATTTAATTCTGAGAATTAAAAGAGAATTTAATAAGAAAGACTCGAAATGATGATGAAATTCGTATAAAGAGAAGTGGCAGAGTGCTCTGTTTGTAAGTTCTATTCAGAGCAGTTGAGCACTAGATGATTATCGTTCCCTTTCTCTCGTTTATAAACTATTTTCTACCAAGTTTTCTCGGTCTTAACCCTTGTATAACGTCTCTAGCTTCTCACAATTATGGCCAATTTCTTCACCGTCGGATAACTCTATCCTTCGGTTAACCTCAGGGGTGCAGTTAGAAAGAGATGAAGAGTGAGGTTAACCGAAGGATAAAGTTATCCAACGGTGAAGAAATTGACCCTTAGTATCACACCATGAGTTTTTTTCGCTGTTCATTGTAAATTCTATTACATACATTGTAATTCTATTACATGTCGCGGCGGTTATTAGAGTTTTATTGAGGTTCGTTATCGTGCGAGAATCTTCGTCTAAGACAATTTAAATGCATTTTTCACAAAAACATGTGCGTTTTAATTTTAATTCTCCCTGCAGTGTTTTCGCAATGCGGAAGTTTTAGAATTTTGCACGAGAAAGATAGTACAAACGAGATTCGTAACATGTTGATTTTCAACATGTATGAACATGTTAAAAATCCATTAAAATCCAACTGCGCCGTTGTGTTGCAAAGCGGCAACAAATTTTTGCTAATTTTGTTTATATATAAACTACACATTTTTATTTTTATCCTCTTCCGCCGCGGGTAATTCTTGTAATCGATCTTTGGCAAGTTGCTGATCAAACCGCGTGTAAAATACTACATACGCAAGCAATAAAATCGACTGGCTGCAGATATGACACTTTTCCGCGTGCATCCCGTAACATGTACGAGCGGCGAAACTCGGGTTTCTTGTGTCGATTTATTCTTATCGTGATCGCCGCATCCGGGGCTTCTCTTTTTTCACCTCAGCATGAAAGGCACGGATG